TACATTATATTTAAAAATATTATTAAAATATTCTTTTGGCTATAAATGACCTATGAAACTTATAATAAATTAATACAGTAACACACAAAACACAATAAGACTGATCTTTTTAAATATAACTATATCTAAAAAATTAGCACTATATATATTCCAGCTGTTCTGTCTTATTTTTATTTCTTTTCTTTTTATTTGAGCTGTCTTCTATCTTCTATGCAATGACATCTTTACATGATTCTAAAAAATTGCATTTCAACTCGAAAGGTAAGTAATCGTACTCTTCGGATAATGTTTTTAGCATATACCTTGAACACTAGATGGACTCGAATCTCGAATCTTATGGCATGAAATAACGTTGCGGGTGATTTGGAAATGTGTAAATGTATTCTACTGTTTGTTTTTTGTATTTTTTCAAGCCACGATGCGCGGTGAATGATAATCTGATTTCGTAGAAAGACGGAAGACGAAATTTCACGTTTATGAAAAAATGTATGACATATATCATCCTAGTGTGAGTAATTGTATTTAATTTAAATAACCAAAAAATAAGATGTATGCAATCCAAGTTTTTGTAAGAATGTTAAATATTCTTATTTTCTCATGCTTACAGTATTATCACTTGTGCAAATTCGGTTGTAACGATCCTGTGAAAACAAGTACTGCCTTTTATGTCTACATTGAACTATGTGAAGGTATTGTATACAGTTTTGACAATACAGAGAGAGAGAGAGAGTATATATAATTAAGTTATAAATTTACATACAATTTATTGCTATCGTGATTTACAGTGAAACGATTCTGGGATGTCAAATATAAGTATAAGGAGGAACTTGAACTATTCTATCTCGAGGTGAAGAAAAGTGAGCATTCTTCGCTAGAAATCTATATACCTTGGCCAACCAAATACAGCATTTCTATTGATAAAATTGAGAAGATGCAACAGGCATTGCAAAATGAACGGTAATTTCAGGATTTTGATGTTCATGTATATCTTTGATATTTTCCTATAATGATTTCTATCCACACTTATATAAATAACAAATTTAATCCAACAGATTGACATTTGTATTTAAATCTGAGGATAGCAGCAGTGTTTTGTATACAATAAGCGCAGGTCTTATAAAGCCAGCAGCGCCAGAAGCAACTAAACAACTGAAAGAAAGAGAAGAGAAGAAATATAATTTGGAGACAGAAATCCGAAGAAACACGTCAAATTTATATGAATTAGCAAAAACTATAGTTATTGCTCATGAAACTAAAGATCAAAATTCTAATTCTGGTCCAAGCGCTGCTGTAGAATCATCGAATACAGATTCCAGTTTGGAGATATTATGATACTTTTTCTATACATAATATTGAATTATCATGTAATATATATTTGCTTATTGTATTACTGTGTTTATTTCTTTTTGATATTGTCATATTTATAGCTTATATATGAATCTATTAAAATTTTTAAGGCTGTTCTCTTTACCTAAGAAATATACAAAAGTGATATATAGAAGGAAATAGTTAACATATTTTTTGTAAAGCATAAATAACAAAATGTGATGATGAAAGGGTGTAGATGAAAAGTATAATGTTGTATATTTTTAATATTTATTTTTTAAAGTAATTTTCACATATGCGCGCGTATAATGTAGATTTTGGGAATACTTCTAAGGATTGCATATAATTGTTTAATAAAGTGATATGTAATAAGCTGCCACTGCAAATATATATGCATTGAATAAATTAAATCTTCATCTAGCCATAGTACTCTCGTGTATTAATTAGTAGACACTACAAAATACGAGGCACATAATTTTTTCTTTGCTTATTGTAAAACTAATTATAATTACAACGAACAGAGTTTATAACTAAACTTATGTCTAGTAATGCTATGAAATATTATGTATATATAAAAAATATGTAACGAAATAATATAACTTAATAAAAATCCTTATGAATTAAAAGTAAATTTATCTACAAAAACAAAGACCATACGATATTTGTTTATATATACATATTCTGAGTCTTTGAATCACCGCGTTTTCGACCACACATATCCCAAAGTTGTTAAATAATTTAATTTCTGCAAAGCTGCATGTAATATCAATGAAAAATAATTAATACACATGATGATGTTTTCTTATAATGTATATCAAGTTACGATGTAAAATCCAAGTCATGAAAATGATATTTCACTTTGACATAAAAATATTTTCATCTGAAATTGTTTATAAGATTTTTATATAGTTTGGGGCAGTTGAGAGCTATGTAAAAAAAAATGGTATTGTTAAACGCTCCAAGATATAAAAGTAATGTGTATATGTATCGATAAGTATCTACATGATGATCTTACATACTTTTGCAAAATTTAAGCAATCTTAATGTAAATGCAAAATTTAAATTTGTTTCAATTGCTTTACGAATTAAGCTAATAATCTCACATGTGACGAATCTTTAGTAATTGTAAACATGCCCCACACTTTTCTCTGTCTGTTTTATTGTTGAATGTGTAAATTTGAGTAAATTCCTTATTTCAGAAAGCCACATTATATATGTGCGAAAAGATTAGATTTTAAAACTTACATACAAAAATAATGTATAAAAAACAGGCACATTAAAGATTCTGTGTGAATTATTCACATCTTCTGAGTTGCCACTATTATACAGTGTGTTCAAAATCGATCGTCAATATTTCTATAGATCTAAATCCATCCTTCTCCTGTGTATAAGAATTATATATAAAATAGATACCAAAAAGTGGTTATCAATCCACATAACTGCAGTAAGGCAACTAGATCTCAAGAGGTACTCGAATCTATCACTAGTGATACAATTAATTTTCGTATTATGTAAAATGCTTGATATTAACAAATTTTACGAATAATTCTAAAGATTATTTATGTATGCATTATTGATTTTAAATGAGAGATATTGCAGATAAAACTTGGTCGATTTCATCGATATAACGAGCTTTCCACAAGCGATATTTGTAATTAATAAAATAAAATAGAATAGAGAGAGAGATTATAATTAATAGATTTTGATAAAAAACATTCTGTGATTGTATAATGAAAATTAAAAATAAAGTTTAATCTTTAAATAAAATTAAATAAGTTACATCATTTTATACACGATTTGTATAAAATCTACCAAGTTTTATTTAAAATATTCCTTCTCTTATTTATATTTATAAGGTTCGTAATTCAATTTTCAATTTCTCGTATAATTATAAGATAAAAATATATGACAAATCAAAAAGTTTATATACAATTATCTCATTAACATCCAACAAATTTTCTAGTTATATTGCGTGTTATTAAAAATCGTCCAATTATCATGTAGGCAGTGCCTACATGGTATGCTTCATTCATTTCTTAAAAGATGTCTATTAGGCACTTTTTAAAAAATGAATAAAACATACCATAAATTCAATTTAGATTGTACAATATTTGTGTGTGTATGAAAGTTCTAGAAACGATTAAATTTTCTATAAAGGATTAATTATTAAATATTAAAATGATTGTATGTAAATCATAGAAAAGTTTTACAATTATTAGAAGAAAAGTTAATTTACAAGCTTCTTTCACAAATGTAAAATTTAACAACTACTTCAACATAGTTTTCACAAATCATCTACAAAATCAGAACCAAATCTTAAAAAACGTTCGAATATATGTTGATATCAGAATATGAACTTGTCTTACAATAGTATCTTTTGTGTGGCAAACTTAGTTAAAATATTGATAGTATAATACTACACCACAATATTCGAGCTATTAAATATAGAAATATCATCCATTATTATCCTCTCCGCAAAATATTTGGTTATATATTTATATATACATAATATATATTTAGCACATATTAGTAAAATTATCTTATCTCATAAACTATAATATGAATGTACATAACTAAAATAACGAAATATAGTAAATATATAATTGGATATATGTTAAACAAACTTAAAAGATTCTGATATATGATATAAACATGCTGCTTCACACAATGTCATAGAGCTCATATTGTCTAAAGTCACCATAATCTTGCACAAGATTAGCTATATGTAAATGAATTTCCAATTATTATAATGAATAGTACGATAAGAATGATAAGAACGAATAGAATGATAAGTTTAATTAAAAAGCGCATGAATATTACCTGTATAATGATCATTATTGTTGCATATATATATAGCGCCATTTCGATTTCAATTATTTATCACATGAGCATGAGCAAGTTTAGCTACATTTTGATTTATTTTATGTTTTCTCTATGAATGTGTTAATTATTGTTTGCATTATGATTATCCTTTTTTTCCTAAGTCCTACAGGGATATATAAAATCTTCGAGTAATCGCGTGTGTTACTGTACATAATAGTAGTATATATAGATAACAAAATGTTGAAAATAATACATCTTCGCGTAAAAGTATAATGGGACATATCTAATGCTAGTGACAGGACAGTGTTTGGAGAGATCACTTCTGTGCACATATAGTTTAAAATTATTTCCATTTTTATGCGAAAAAATTTCTTTGTCAAAAGATTGGTAGGCTTCATTACTTTTTTCTTTGCTTAACATATTTGATGAGAATTTTTTAATCAGTTTCAAGAATATTTAGAGTTTATTTACATATTAGTACTGTCAATATAAATCGCATTATTTTTATACCCAGGTACTAGTTATCCACAGCCGAAAAAATTTTCAATTTTTGTACCTAAAACTTCCACAAAAAAATCTGATTTCTCAAAAAAATTTTATTTATAACAAATTCAAATAAGCAAACAGTTGTAAAAAAAAAAAAAGAAAAATTTTTTTAAATAATGCGTTATTTGACTTCTATCGCCATTTAAAATTTTTGAAGAAATACTTATTATACAACAAAAACAAAATAGCACAATTGAATTTATAATAATCCTAGATCCCTCACAGAAACAAAGTTGACATGTTACGACTTTTTTCGAACAAATCAGTCGGCTATGAAATAAACAGAGTTTAAATTTTTGTTAGCCTATCATGTCTGTGTGTAGCATATATAGTATTTAATTTTCAATAATCTCATAAAAAACGTGATCTTTTATTTTATAATCATCTCATCTAATATTTTTATACACAGAATGATAAACAGAATCGATTAATCAAAACATTCTAATTTATTAATAGCCTATGTATAGTTTCTCAATATTCGATACTTACATCAAATTTGACAATGTACCTGGATAATATCCGAAATAACAATATGATATTCTTGGATATTGACAGCACTATTGTATCTCATCAACTGTATTATCATAAACAATGATCTATATCTGCATACATATGTTATTTAATATAAAACTGGAGATTGTAAACTCCAAGTATGTACCAAGTACCTATTAAAAGCATCATAATGGAGAAAACCTGAGATTCGATAAAAAATTTCTCTTGTAAATCTGTTCGACTGCGATCGTTAATATAGTATTAAAAAATGAGAAATATGTATACATGATGAGAGATATATGATATAATATATATATATATTGCTCAGATAAACAAACTGCATTAACGCAGTTGCGCAAAAAATTTCATTTTGCAGTAGTAAAAGCAACTTTTTCTTCAATTATGACATGCTGATATTTCCATTCGCTCCGAGATATTAATGGCTAGCACCAATCAGCCATATAAGTAAAGTCTTTAAACAGGCCTTGTTCTAAGTCACTGAGAGGCCGAGGATCTTTCGGAGGCGTTAGATGTGGCTTCTCTGATGTAAATTCTTCATCAAAATTACTTACATCTTCCACCGAATGCTAATAACAAAGAAACATTTTTCATATGAGAATGTTAAAATCTAATCTCTGATCTGATACTAATTACGCAATCAATATTTAAAATTTAATTTGTACTAATAGAGAGATATTACCTTACGTATTCAAATTTTATACAATGATAAAACATTAAACAAAATCGATACTTACGATTACTGGTACAAAAGGTGGTTTCACACGTCTTAGAAGCAGATCATCCCAAGTAATGTGTCTGAAAAATGCTTGTTTTTTAACGTCTTCCGCGTCTCTTTCGCTGCTACCTAATCTTCTGTCTGGATTCTTCCTTAACAACTGTAATAGCAGAATATGTGGATAAAAGATATGGATTGAAATGACATAATAAACAAAAATTAAAAATGCTTACTCTTCTCATGATTGCTATCGCTTCCAAAGAAAGAAATCGTGGATATCGTACTTCATCGTTTACAATGGAGTCAAACACTTCTTCCTCATCATCACCTGGGAAAGGAGACTGAAAAACATTTTATTTACATATCTCATCTGAATATTGAAAAAAAGACCGAAATATAATATATTTTACAAATAATAAAATTTTACCTCTCCAACAAGCATTTCAAAGATCAAGACTCCAAGTCCCCACCAATCTACGGCTCGCGTATAAGAAGTCTCTGTCAAGACTTCAGGCGCTAAGAATTCAGGAGTACCACAAAAAGTACCTGTCTTATCTCCGTATCCCATACCTTCTTTACATAGGCCAAAATCTGCGATTTTAACATAACCTTCCGTATCCAATAGTAGATTATCTAATTTCAAATCTCTGTAAAATCAAAACATAAACATTGTTAAATATATTATTGTATTACTACAACATGTTACAGTGATAACAAATGATAAATGTACCTGTAAATAATGCGATTTTCGTGCAAGTATTGTAGTCCTAGAACAACGCAAGCTGAATAAAACACAGCGCGAGGCTCTCCGAAAACATCGGCATGTATATGCATCATAAGATCACCACCAGCCGCATATTCCATTACAAAGCATACATGTGCCTATAAAAAAAAATCATCTTTTTTATTCTTTTTTTCGTCTTACAAACTACATCAGAAACATTAGAGAAAAAATTATTATCTCGTTAGTGATACCTCAGTTTGAAAGCACGCAAATAGATTTACGAGGAAAGGATGGCGCGTTGTGTTCGCTACTTCGAATATTCTCTTTTCAGACAGTAATGACTCCACTTCGTCTCTAGCTATAATATCTCCCTTCTTCAAGGCCTTGATTGCGAAATATTCTCCGGTGTTTCTGTATTGCGATAGTATCACTTTGCCGAAATGTCCACGACCGAGTACGGAGAGCAGTCTAAAGTTTTCCAGGGTCATACCATTAATCTGAGAGTGTCTTCTCGACTCATAGGCACTATCTCTGTATTGAAGGGGTCTGATTGGCAGTTCATATACAGCCTGAAAGATAAAAATTTTTAATTGGAACAATATATATACAAATGTTGTTATGTTTCAATGCATTGTTAAAAAGTTAGGCTGGTTAAATATATAATCCCTGTACATATCTATACAAAGATAATCATATGTTAGTATATTATAAAATTAAGACACTTCATACAGAAATATGTCTTAAGTACAATGGCACAGATTACACACTGCAATGTTTCAATTATTCAATTCTCTATATGATAATAGTTCTCAATTATATCTATAAACATTATATAACATTATTAATATAATATTAAAAATACATGCAGAGGCATATATAGACTGAAAGTTTAGTAAAGATCAGTGTATAAGAGTATAATTGTTTGAAAATAAAAAGGAAAATAGTCTATAGAGTGAAATAGAAGCATTGAAAATAAAAAAAATATATTTGTTTCTTCTCCAGTAATTACATGCAACATACACTACGGCAAGCAAAGCAATGTTGTGTGTACGTGGAGGTATGTACCTCATCCTCAGGAAACTCGACGACAGGTTGGGGCGAGGGTGTGCGTGGAGAGGGTGGTGCAATCAGCACAGGGCGGGGCTCTGTCACCAGGGGCCTCAAATTTGCGCCCTGAGGCCCGCCCTTTTCCTCGTTGTGCAGAAAATCAAACTCCCTTAATGCACTCTGTAACTACATTACTACCTCCTTAGCACTAATACTTGGTTGAAATCACAGTAAACTTTAGATTGCATACTAGAATTGTTTCAATTGTACACATGCATTACTACATAGCTAATATAATTTAAATTTTGAAAAAATACGTATTTATATTCTGTAAAATTCCGGCTACTATCATCATAGGGAGTTTGGAAGGAAATTGTTGCTTTTTCAAAATTGGCAGAACGCAAGAAAATAAAGTTGTATTCGTTATGAAGTAATTGATATAATATAAACTGTCGATAGAAAACAAAAGAAAACAAAAGGCCTGTGTATTTAATGAAAAAAATCTGTGTAATAACTAAAAGATGTTCTTTTCAAGCAAATGCACAAATTATATATATAAACTAATGCTACTATTTTTTATATAATTGAAGAAACACATAATATATCTGATAACATGCCGCATCAGGATATATATGTAGTATAAATACATTCATTAGATTATGACTTTAAAAAGTAAATCTATTTTATATATATATTTCACATATTATATATTCATTTTATAAACTATTTGGGCCCATAACCAAGATTCCCAGCCTTGAGAGATTGTCTCTAATACATATTACTACTCATATTCCTATTATAGAGTGATTAAAAAAGTATAAGAAACTATGTCAGATATATGTATAAAGTAAATACAATAAATTATACATATCGCTATTAGAATATAATTGAATTTCACACATATAATATCATGTTGCAGACTTATAACAATTATATGATAAAAAAATTGCGACATTAACAATCTTATATCTTTACATCAAAAGCAGAGGTTGACAAATACATATTATGCAATAAATACCGAATATCATCGTGTATCAATGTATGTGTGACCTTTGAACTTATTTGATTTAAACATACTGACAATTATATGTAAAAAGACATGTGTACAAAGAGACATACCTCTTGATCTAATTTAGGAGGCGGTGTAGGTGCAGGTGTAGACGGTTTCTTCACAATAATTGGTGGCGGTGGGGGAGGATGCTCCGGAGGACGTGGCAGAGTTGGACTACTACTAGTTGTTGACATTCCCAAAGGCCGCGCACCGCCTAGTCCACCTTTCTCCGGATCAGGCACTTCGCCGGGAGTCTCGGGCTTATCTTCTATCGAGGTATCAAATGCAAGTTGCAATGGTTGCGGTCCTGCAAATGAATCTGTAGATGATATATTTTCACAAGATTTTGCAAGATTTGCATGTAAACTGTGACTGATTTTGACTCGTCTTACCTGTCGGCGGACTTTCCGAGCTTCTGGAATTGTGCAATGAAGGCGCCGAACGTTTAAGTAGTCTACCCCAAGTCGCGACGTTTATATTCATTTGATTTGCTCTTGGGAAATTTTTCACTTGTTGCTTGAAGATCTTTCGTTGACGCTGCAACTTAGGCTTTCGCGATATCATCGGATTCAAGAATTTTATTTCCGCGAACAGAAGACCTTGCGGTTCCAACTGTAAGGCCATTCCATGTCGAACATCGTCAATGAATTCCTCTAAACGTAAGAACTTGACCGCGCATAGAGATCTCCAATCTCTCCAATAAATGCCTATTTCAAGTTCTCTCGATTTATCTAGTTCGATAGAAAACCTAGAAATAGATATACAATATAAAGATCATTGAACATGATATAATTACATTATTAGCTAAGTATATGCACCTTTGGTCCCAAGCTTGTTGGGAACATAAAAAAAAAACAAAAGGCCTGTGTATTTAATGAAAAAATCTGTGTAATAACTAAAAGATGTTCTTTTCAAGCAAATGCACAAATTATATATATAAACTAATGCTACTATTTTTTATATAATTGAAGAAACACATAATATATCTGATAACATGCCGCATCAGGATATATATGTAGTATAAATACATTCATTAGATTATGACTTTAAAAAGTAAATCTATTTTATATATATATTTCACATATTATATATTCATTTTATAAACTATTTGGGCCCATAACCAAGATTCCCAGCCTTGAGAGATTGTCTCTAATACATATTACTACTCATATTCCTATTATAGAGTGATTAAAAAAGTATAAGAAACTATGTCAGATATATGTATAAAGTAAATACAATAAATTATACATATCGCTATTAGAATATAATTGAATTTCACACATATAATATCATGTTGCAGACTTATAACAATTATATGATAAAAAAATTGCGACATTAACAATCTTATATCTTTACATCAAAAGCAGAGGTTGACAAATACATATTATGCAATAAATACCGAATATCATCGTGTATCAATGTATGTGTGACCTTTGAACTTATTTGATTTAAACATACTGACAATTATATGTAAAAAGACATGTGTACAAAGAGACATACCTCTTGATCTAATTTAGGAGGCGGTGTAGGTGCAGGTGTAGACGGTTTCTTCACAATAATTGGTGGCGGTGGGGGAGGATGCTCCGGAGGACGTGGCAGAGTTGGACTACTACTAGTTGTTGACATTCCCAAAGGCCGCGCACCGCCTAGTCCACCTTTCTCCGGATCAGGCACTTCGCCGGGAGTCTCGGGCTTATCTTCTATCGAGGTATCAAATGCAAGTTGCAATGGTTGCGGTCCTGCAAATGAATCTGTAGATGATATATTTTCACAAGATTTTGCAAGATTTGCATGTAAACTGTGACTGATTTTGACTCGTCTTACCTGTCGGCGGACTTTCCGAGCTTCTGGAATTGTGCAATGAAGGCGCCGAACGTTTAAGTAGTCTACCCCAAGTCGCGACGTTTATATTCATTTGATTTGCTCTTGGGAAATTTTTCACTTGTTGCTTGAAGATCTTTCGTTGACGCTGCAACTTAGGCTTTCGCGATATCATCGGATTCAAGAATTTTATTTCCGCGAACAGAAGACCTTGCGGTTCCAACTGTAAGGCCATTCCATGTCGAACATCGTCAATGAATTCCTCTAAACGTAAGAACTTGACCGCGCATAGAGATCTCCAATCTCTCCAATAAATGCCTATTTCAAGTTCTCTCGATTTATCTAGTTCGATAGAAAACCTAGAAATAGATATACAATATAAAGATCATTGAACATGATATAATTACATTATTAGCTAAGTATATGCACCTTTGGTCCCAAGCTTGTTGGGAACATGGACGCCAGCTAGTCTGTCCTACGGTTTGATTATCCAATTTTATAACTGCCATAATGTCATCTGAAATCAATGATAATCAGTGACGGATTCAAAATAACGCAATTTTTAACATTATTCGCAAAATATTGAAATCTTACTGCTTGTTTCGTCTTTCACGCTATACGACTTGCTCGAACTGAGTCCTTTGACACCCTTAACGAAGCTACGTATATCAGGACTAGCAGCATGTTCCCTCCGCGTACGACCAGGTACTTCTTCCGCCAAGTCTTGACATCCCATAAGTCTTACCTAAACATTTTGCGGCATGTAATATAAGATAAACATATCGATTATTTATTCCATTTTCTCATTCAGCATACCTCTAATTGTCCCGTGACAGCAGCGCATCTCGATACTGAAGCTGGTATGGTGGTTTTACTTTCCAAGGGACCGCGGAACGGTTGTAATGATGTATAAGTAACGGGAACTGGACTAGCCGATTGCACGCTAGCTAATTCTCTTTTTAATTGAGCCGCGGTACCGCTGTCAGGGGGTAGCTCTTGTCTTCTGAGTTCAAGGGATAATCTGAGCAAGTCCAATTTTCTGCTGGATTCCGCGAGGCTTGCCTGAGCCTGTAGTGATTTATGATTTATATAACAAAACATACTTTCATACATAAAATATCTTATTAATATAATATTAGTTTAATATTGACAAGGAATATAACTGTATATGTAGACAACACAACTGTGATATTCAACATAGTTAATATTTATTAACAGCGCAATCAATATATACATCCTTGTTAATTTGTATAAATGCTCAATTTTCAACACAGAATGTGTTTAACAGTCCTTTCGTAATAATTTAGATAAAAAAGCTATAATATACGGAATATATTTCAAGAGAAATATAAATTAAACACACAAATCACAATATACAAATTTACAGTGTCCTTCAATAACCGTAAACGATGGAACGCAATATACCGCATACAAATATCTTACAATATAAATAAATAAAATGGAAAGCTTGTGTAAAGCCTAAAGAATCGATATATTTCAAATCTTCAACAGCTATCGCGAAATATCAGATATCACTCTTTTTGCGATTTGAATGCCGGATGACGTTCAAGTTCGTTCAACGAATAGGCCCGTCCTCTCGCTCCTCTTTCCTCGAAGTATCTTCGGCAATGTTCGCATGTACACGTTGGATTTTTCGACGGACCTATATGATGACCGGGCTTTCGAAACGCACTGACTACCGTTCCAAATCTTGAAGCTTTTATGATATGATCAGTTCTTTCTCCGTATGGCGTAGCAAAGGGAGACGTTACGCGGGAGGGTATGGTCGAAGGGAGAGGAGACGGGCTCTTGGATCCAAAGGGACCGATACGATCGCGTAGAACATTCGAATACGGAACGTAATTGCCGCGTGTCGCGTTGGATTCCTCCGTTTGATCCTTGCTCGCGCATCGACGTACGATCGAATCTTTTTTAACGAGTGACTTGTCATCACCGGCTATGAAATTCCAACCGACTGCTTCACTCTCATCGGAATCCTCGGCACTTTCCCCAGACGACCAACCTATCTCGTGTTTCTCCAAGTACTCTCTCATCTTCCTATTTTGTAGGAGATGCTTCCGTTCGATTTGCGGCGATCGCCAAGTCCTTTTTTTCTCATCGCCGGTTTTCGCCAAAATATCCATTCTACGTATTCTATCGCGATCCGCGGAATTGGCGTATTCGAAGCTATCACAAGGTGTCAAGCCGGATTTGCTGTTGATCAAGGACTCGATATCTGAAAACGTGTCCTTCGATGACGTCATAGTCGTTGAATCGTACGGAGAGAGAGCCGTACTGGATGACGCCGCAGAACATGGGGCGGAATCTAGGTCTCGTATCCCGCTGTACGAACTAAATCGCGAAGGATAAAGGGAGCTCAGCATTTCGTCGCTGTCGTACCCCTTTGAACTAGCCAACGAGGGCATCCTCATCGGTGCGTTTCGGAAGCTCGCGCATCGTCGCTCGGCGCTGCGCTTCAGAAACGCGTTCGCGTCCTGAAATCCCCGCGGTAAGTTATCCGTCGCCTGCGTGTGAGTGACTTTGACGTCCTCGTTCTCAAAGACGGTCATGGGTGTGCCGCGCTCATCCTCGCTGGTCGTGTTTGTACTGGCGTCATCGTCGGATCCTGTGCAGTACACGTCGATATGTACCGTCCGTGACTTGCGCTTGTCACTGCTGTTCTCTTTCGCAGAGGAGTCTGATTTTTCTGTATCTACGGGAGGAACGGAACTGGTGGTCTCAACCGATGCTGGAGACGATCGAACTTCCTGCTGGAAGACAAGATAATCATAATATTCCGGATTCCCTTACAATATAATAAACTGTCGTATACATTCAGGATCCATCGAAGATGACTCACCTCCTTCTTTTTCTGCTCGTTAGATTTGTAAGCACCAGCGCCTAATCTCCTCCCAACTCTGCTACTCTTTACGGTCGACGAAGAACGCGTCGATTCGATGTCGGTGGTTTGCGATGCCGCGTCTCTACTGATCGCGGTGGCCCGGCTACTCGCGGTCTTTTCCGCAACACGGGTGCAAAAGTGCGTGGTGAAGCTCGAGGCGCTTCCTTCCGCGCAATCCTCGCAGACTTCTGGAACCGCGCTGAATTGTTGTTGGGAAAAGCGTTGGTACGAGGGTCGACGTTGCCAGGAATCGACGGATTCGGCAGAACTCGCGCTTTTCTCAGGATTCGCGGTGGAAAGTACAATCCTACACGTGCTCTTACACCGACGATCATACTGCTGATTGTGAGACGAACGTCGAGCGGGTAGACTGGAGTAGGCGCGCGACGAGAACCGTTCGCTATTGTAGCCAGAATCGTTGGCTCGGCCTCTGGACGAATCGTCGTTGCCCGATGAGCTTGAGCGCGGTAGAGTGTAGGATCTGTCGTCTGACGATCTCTGGGACGGTCTCTCGGGTGGCGTGGACGTGAATAATATATTCCCCCGTTGAAAACCAAAGCCGCCCGAAGATGACGGAAACGCTTCGGTGGTTGGCGTCGTCGAGTTCGACGGTTCGCTCGTGTTCCAGCGACATATCATGCGGATGCCACCCGCGTCGGCGGTCGTGGTAGTACCCGGCGGCATTTGCACGGTCTCGGAGGTCACCGTGTCGCCATGGCGGATCGTGACTTCCGCGCGAACGAGCCACGGTGGCACCTGACTCGCACCACCGTCGCTCGCCGAATTATCCTGACGTCTGTACATCTCGCGCCTCTTTTCTTCCTCAATCTCCGTCGTCGCACCTTCATCCACCGCAGGACATTGTCATTTTTCAATCGACTCTGTAGGTCCGACAGGAAAACATCCGTACAATCCGTCCTTTTCTTCTTCTCGTCCGTCAGGAGACGATGATCCGGTTTTCTCGTCCGTATTCTTCTTCTGTTCATGGATTTGTAGTCTCTTTCTCTCTTTTTCTCTATACAAAATTCTGCTGATGATTACGCGCGACACTTATGATCGCTCATCTAATTCTCTCGTCCGATTCCGTGATATATCGAAGAGAGATCTTATATAATAACGTCTCTTTGAGTCAAGTCATGCTCGCGCTTCACAGCTTCGTCCGTAGCACAATTTTTTCCCGGAAGGATGGTAATACTGCGATATTGTATATCGCTTCTACTCGATCTATTTTCGGGTTTTCCGTGTATTCGAGAACTATCTAGCACGGATAGTTTCTTTTCGCTTCAATAACATCGCAAAATTTTAGCGCTGATACTCGAAAAAAATTCGATTTATCAAACTAACTTCTTCGTATTGTCAGTTTATCATTTGCGAATTACACAATAACTTCCGCAATCGCTGCAATCACCGTGATCTTTCTTTGTCTCTCGTAACAAACTGAGCGACGACGAGACGTGTATAATTAGCACAATATAAATTTGGAACGCAACGTACAGTCGCACTAAGAATATATCTGGAATAAGTACTTTTCTTATATATATGACGACGACCACCGACGCAATAATAAAGTGCGCAATAATGATGCACAGTCATCGAGCCAGTCATGTGCCACGTTACGAAAATCGATGCGCCGACCTCCTCGAAAATCTCGCTGGTACCATTCTGTCTCGGTAAATGTCTGCAGTCAAAGATGAATTCAAATATCGCGTACGTGCATGTGAAATTAATTTTCACACTTATAATCTCTGAGATGGCGATTTCTCTCTCTGAATAATTCAGATCCGCTATACACATGCGCATCAAAAATATCCAGGATTAAACAAGATTCGGATGACTTATGACTCGGTCAGAGACGTCCGATTTGGTATATAAGCCTCCTGACAGCTCAAACTGATTTTGAAACAGACGTCAGTCGTCAGTCTTCTTGGAGCGCGGCGTTCGAGAAGAGAGCGGCGAGAAGGGACGACACGACATTTGTGGACGGCTTCAGTCTTTCAGTCTTCGGGTTCAAATCGTATAATTAACTGTCGCGATTATCCAAACGCATGGTCAATATCTTCCTGGAAGGATATCCATTCGACGGAAATGTACACATTCTACGATCGCCTTCTTCGCGGTCGACCGGTGCACACATGTCGTCGGTTTATCGCGGGGTGCTTACTGGATACTGGATGATGATGCCAGTCCTCGTCGAGAGACGATAACTAAGCGCGACCCGAAAAGGCGTCATGAGATGTACGGCGGGGTGGCGTGGATAGGGCTATTTTGAGAAAGCGCGTATAGAGTCGCCACCGACCCTCCACGGGGTCCACGTCGACACGTTCTACGCTGCCGACGTCGCAATCCGGCTGTCGACAAGAAGTCGTTTTTGTACCGGCGCATCCGAGAAACGCTCTCTCATCGCCGAGATCTCAAATGAAATCAGTCTCCAAAGATAATTCAATTATTATAGAATGATTATTTTGTTTAGAAAAGTTTTTTTTCTATTCAATTATAAGTTTGATAATTTCGTAGAAATCACATTATATACATATTTTTTTCTATAAAATTATCAAATATTATTATATATAAAAAATATTATTCTTCTTCTCTCTTTTATTACATGTACATAAAATAAAAGAGGAAAAAAGAATAATTTTTTTTTGGATATTAATTGATAATTTATAAAAATTATTATATGTATATATGTATATATACACATGTAAATATCTCATTATCTTATTCGCTAAATCGAAAATTATTCTTGCCTTTTCTTTTATTAAGATTTTTATGTTTTGATTTAACGAATAAAACGGTGTGAAATATTTTCACAAGACGAATATTTTTTTAAATAGTGACAAGATATCGTATATATATATATGATATCCTGTCACTCTTTAAACAAACATTCGTCTTGTGTTAGAAAGAGCAATTGTCCGCGCATTATAAGATATTTTCACCGAGAGAAGTAAAGTCAGACAGTTTCCACATTATTATCATTTCGAAACAGCTGTGTCAGAGAAGTGTGACGTAAATGGCTTCCTTTAACGCTACACATACGCGCGCGCGCGCGCACATATTACAAAAGCCTTTCGCGAATTGCATGTCGCGTACAGATTCCCGCGTTTCTTCCGCTTCTATCTTTGACGAACAGCAAATTGGGAAGGAAATAAATCACCTACCTCGGTTAAGGCCTTCTTATCAGCGACTCTAGCACTTTGTAAAAGACGTATCACGTTCTTGGCACCTTCTACGACAGCTGCCTCTATTCGCAATCGATGCCGCAGCTCCTCCACCCTCTCTTCCAACGCGAGTTCCAAGCTGGGCTCGTACCTATCTATAAGCACATTATTACATTCATTATTTATGTTATATTCGTCAGAATTGCACTCGCAACTACTCGTACAAAGTTCTTTCGTGTATCAACAACGCGCGCAATAATCTTCTTATATAACGCGTATCTACCCACATACTTCATATCGTGGAAAAAGTGAGCCATTACGCGCGTAACGAATATATCCTTCTACGAACAAAGCATTTCCTTCCAAGAAATGCCATTTACCATGAATGACGAACGTATCACGTTATACTTTTATACTGAATACGTGGCATATAAATTCCTGGATGAGATACGAACGCGTATCACGTTCTGGAACAATTTCATTGCCGCGGTAAATGTCAGCTTACTGTCTCGCTGTTCCGCTTAAACTTCGCGTTAACAATGAGATGTATACAGCTTAACTATAGTCGTCCAAACAATTAGAATGCGAATTCGACAATACGATGTATCCGAGATAATTTACCGGATCCATTCTTCTGACACGCATATTCTCGTATACATATTTAAATAAATGCAATATTTTTAAGAAGAGATCTATGTTGAATAAATAATATCGCAAATTTAAATAATTTATTTTTCAAATTTATTACACTCAATATTGGGGAAAAGTTTTGTCGATTATCTTATTCGCAAAAGAAAATTTTTTAGAACATTATGTATATTTTCAACTGTTGTTTCTTTTTTCTCTCAAATTCTCGCGTTCCAGACATTAATTATTATTAATAACAAAACCATCATATACCTTTGTTGCTAGTTGCTTCGCCATTCGGTGGCAACGCGTCTCCTCGTTGTTGCTGCTGCCGCGCCTGGCGCACCTTCATTATCCGCATGCGTAGGAACTCGATTTTGGCGCGGGAATCGTCTAGCATTTGTTGAGCCTCCTGTAGTAATTTTTTGTCACGATGGCCGCTCGTTAAACTCTGTATCATATTTTCAGCACCCTGCTTGACCTATTGCAAATATAAACAAGAAGAGATTGTACGTGTATTATTCTACTCTCTATATGAAAGTAATATTGAAATTAGTATTAACTTGTGTTACACATCTACATGTAAAAATTGACTATTTTATTTAAAAAAAGAGGGAAAAGAGAGTATAAAGGATAATTGGGGGTAATTAAAACTTTTGCATTAACACGTAATAATTTGGAAGAGTTGAATGCATTATTCTAATTATCTAAAATCCTCGCATGATATAACGAGAGATTATTTTTAGTAGGGGGAAAACTTGCGGCTCACTGCGCTGACTCACGCAAGACTCTGATACAAGAAAAGTGAAAGAGAGCTAGCAAAGTTTTTTGCGGAAAGCAGTATGCGCGATAATTATTCTGAATCATATCGAGAAGAATACCGATAACTATTACTAATGAAGACTATTACAAGGGAACACTCATTGTCACCCTATCGAATGTTCTCCGATATCGCGTAACAACTCATAGAAATGTTGATAACACGACAGTTTTGATATCACGTGATATCATCCGTGTTCGTGAAGTGTATCATCATTATCTACTTGTGATCGGGAAATGTATACGAGAATTAAGCGCCTCTTTAAGCAGCACCTTCAGTTCAATATTGAGCTGCTTCTCCAAGGATAGAAGCCGAAGATCCGTGAATAGACCTTCCTGACTCGGCGACGAAGGCCCCATCGGTGATAGAGGCGTGTCTGAAACAAAAATAGAAGCGTACACGAAATGAAAAAATCCGATGATATGATTTAATGTATTAGCGACACCCACATTGCTAAGCGGGCAAAAATAAAATTTTATAAATTTTTCTCCGAACACATTCCTATCATCGCGCTTTCTCACGCGTCTGCGGATACCTTTCTTCGTATTAAATCCGTCCGGATTTTTCGCATCATCGTAAGCGAATTGTGTTCTGCCTCGGACGCGTGCGCGTCTCGTATCCGACGATCTCTATGATTTGATGGCGAGATTACGCACGACGCACTCGGAGCCTACTTTCCATAACCCAATGCTGACACGTTAACGATTGTTCCGACTCCCACGTATTCGAGTCCGCAGGGAGTGTGGAAAAAAAAAACAGTGACGTTCCGCTTTGTTTGAGAAACGCACCGTTATGGAATTTCCCATCGCTCTTCCTCTTTTCGCTATACGTTCCATTCCACCTGTCTATTACAATAAACGTCTTCGAGATGTAGAATCCCTCCGACCGGCGTGCGCGAATCGTTATATATGCAAATCAACTTGCGACCACAATTTATATACGGACAAAATATATATGTATATATATGTAATGTAATAATATTACACAATGCACAATAAAATGCCCAATAAAATGCACATTTATAACTCGTACCGGAACAGTGTGGGAACCGCAGGTCGGTAATTACGAGCGTTATTTCCGCGCCCGCCGGAACTTCCAGCAATTACATTAATCAATGTACCTTACGTAATCGTATCTTTTGTTATACTCGTATATTTTAATAACGCGGACGCGCTCTAATGCGTCCTTAATAGCGAAACCCCCTCATTAAGGATATTTGCACAATGTCGCATCGTTACTCGTGGTTCGCATTGTTGGCGAAAAGTTAACGGTCTTTCATATAATAAGTTTAACGGAAGAAAAATGTCCCAGTTTGCGAGATAACGCGTCGCTATTTCGAGGCTAATTGTACACGATTTTCGAGGGGGCAATTTACATCGTCGTTATTGGTCTACGCATGCGACCGGCGTACGAATTTAAAGCTCGTTAGGGGTCCGATGTAGGGCACTTTTTCCTCCATTGAAATATGCCCCATTATGCGCTCGTACCTGCGAGGAAGCCACCGTAAACACGTGCACGCCACGGTTCCACGATTTCCCCGCATGCACACACGCACGATAAACGACGCGCAGCGTCCGTTCGACGCCAATGAAACGAACGGACGGGAGCACACGCTCCCGCACACACCGTCTATGCACACGGGAGCACACCGACATGTCCGAATAAGGCGAGGCGAGAAGCGGATACTCGATTTTTCACGCGAATACTTTAAATCGAAAATATATTCTGACAAGCTTGTTTAACTTTGGTATGAATGGTCGCCCCGTACGTCTATCTCTATGATGTTATTCATGTCCGTTTAGCATGAGAGATATACATAATTAGCATATTCTGGGAAGTCCTGTAAATATGCTAGATTAGATAGAATTGATACTATAGAGTCATACAGAATATAATATTATATTTCCAACACGTGCTTATTTGAATTTATAAATAGATCTTTTCTATGATGTATCCTTCCTTCGCTATGGAAAAAGCAGCCGATTGGCGAGAATCTAATTATAGCCGATAGGCAGAAGATTGAAACTCCAACACAGAACTCTGCTCATAAATAAATTTTATCGACTCTCGCGGTATCGTTGACAGTCCTCTCGGACAATCGCGGAACGGCTATTATTCCCGGATCGGCGCATAGATGGATGTAACATGGAGAGAAACGAGGAGTTGGCGCGCGAACACACACACACACAGGCTTCGCACAATGCGGCGAAAACGACGGAGGTGGAGGAGGAGGTGGAGGCGGCATGAAAGAGTTTGCGGGGACAATGCGGCATCGAGAGAGCGCCGGCGAAACCGTGTCATTAGCGCAGCTCGGCCGAACACGTGCCCCATTATATTCCGCGTCTCTGCCCTTGCGGGGGCCGACAAAGGCCTTCCTTGTTTTTGATACCACCACCCTCGTCGCGCTGTGCGTCTCCTCCTCTCTTCCTCCGGTTCTTCTTTCAATCGCTTTCTCCCCTCTCTGTTTCTCTCGGCATCCTTCGGCGCGAAACGAACCGAAAGATTATCGTTGCGCGGGTTTGAGGGAGAAGGAAAAACAACAGGGTGGTTGCGCACATAAAGTGACTACTGCGGCTCACTCGTTGCCACTTTCGCCGGTTCAACGACTCGGACGAGTGCGACGCACGCAACCCTTTTGAAAGAAAAGAGAGAGAGAGAGTCTCGAGGCGCGGATAATTGCTCTTCTCGCTAGCAGCGAAAGTAAAAGAAAAGGATAGGGAGACTGAAGTGGCGCGATAGTTATGCAAAACGCATAATTATCGGGCTATCGAGGCGACGTGCAACCAGCTGGCTTTGTCAGTCCCGTGTATGCTTAGACGAAGGGATACTTAATACCCCTCTCGACTTGAAAAAAAAATCCATCGGACAAAGAGAACGTAAACTCTTTTTGTTTAATTTACCTCTTAAAAAATCCGACGTTAATACGCGAAGCCGCAGAGCGAAAATTTATATGATGATCCCCGATAATAGTCGGAAATTATATGCGGTTGTACACGTAACCGCAATATGCATTGCGCTATCATTGCGCGATACCAGCGTGTTGTCTTCTCCTCTCTCGGCTCCCATTCATAACTTTGCGTCCATGTCAAAGCCGTTCCATCTCTCTGCAGCGTGAGTTAGCGATACGTTCATAAAGCATGAACGCATCGTGGGGGGAGCTCTTATGCAGTTCGTTAATGCATGTAAGAAACGATTGTTCGTGTGTGGTGGTTGTCTGCAACATCCTTATTACGGCATTGATTAAAATAATTACCGTAACTATGCGGGAGACGCGAGTGCGCGAAGCGCTTTATTTATAAGCCAACTCGACGTAGAACGTGTATTCCTCTAGCCGTCTAACAAACCATAATTTTTTTTTTTTTTCAAGAGTCTAACGTTTTCTTGAATTATTTCTAGTTATTTCTAGCGCTTCAATTTTATTGCGAAGAACACCATAACTTAAATTGATCTCCATTAAAATAAATATTTTATTACCGATTTTATGTTTTAGTCTCCTTCCGGAACAGATTAAGGAACTCTAAAAAATTCTGAAACGAGCTAGAAACTTTATATCGAGACTGTAAAAATATAGGATAATAATTTCGCAGATGTTACGAAACATGTTACTGTGCGTTTCTTAAGACACAAAAAATTGCAGTAAATTACAGGATGTATAAAGGATGGCATTTTTCTCTGTTTTTTTTTTTTTAAAGAACGATCGAGTTGAGGATGACGCATTCTCGTCGGTAGCAGCCATATTTGTGAAAATGATATATAATCTATGTAGCAAAAACGCGAGATTTAACACCTTGTAATATCTTTAAAAGGAGAACTGTCTCGATGCTCCGGTAACCTTTGGCGCAGTTTTTTATCGCGCACCGGACAAATTTTACCATAAATATACCCAAGGCGGCGATTTGCATAAACGGCAAAAGCGTACCGAGAGATTAGCATACGCCTCGAAAAATCTACCGGTGGGTAACCCCGGGCGTTCAGCGAAGTAGCAGTTAAGTTATTAACATAGAGCCACCGATCGGTTGGCGATCGAGAAAATCGCGGGACCGATACGATAGAAAGCGTAGGGTTAAAAAGGGCATAATGTGGCGGCCGTTAAGCGAAAATCACTCGAGATAAGGATGTTCGAGCAATATCGCACTGCTGATCCATGCGTGGCGCGCAATTTCCCCGAGATGCGCTCTCGTTGTGGTACCCTTGATAATGGTTGATATGGCGAGGAGAGGGGAGGGAGCCGGAACCTATCGGTTATCCACAATCATTGAATGATCGTAGGCGTCAATTGTCATCCGTGACGAGCGCGAATAACAGAGTCTGCACAGACAGCGATACGATGAACGGAACGAGTTACAAGATCTCAACAAAATTTCGTAGTTAAACAAGGTTTATCGATCTAGTTCGTTTATAGATTTATTAGCTTGAGAATCTAAGTTTCCGCGATAAAATTATCATCGCATATCTGTCACGAGTCACGAGTATCACATGTATGTCAGAAAAGATAATGTTTCGAGATTTTTACGCTATGATTTCTTTAGATTACAACATCCTAACGTCAATATATCTTCAACATGACATAATTACAGGTCTATGTGGAACGACATAGCGTCGACGAGAACAAACATCAAGATCATAAAGCGACGTCTTTCTGCATGTAATAAAGATCACAGAAGGCGTACCAATCTGTAATCGGCGAAAAGGGAGCAGCCGGCTTGATTAAGAGGTTTTACGAGCACTGAGATGAATATGTTCGTTGCTCCAGTTATACGAGAGCGCAACGCGTTATCTACGGCATCCCACAGGCCGTTGTGGAATTTTATTAAGTCCGGTATATATATTTGATAGCTACGGAATGTCCGATTTTAATGATATGCAGTGTATTGTATAAACGCGCGTGTGGGAGATATTCTTATAAATTAATCAAGGTCCGACGATCTAGCCTCGCGTTATTATTACGTTGCTGATTAATAATTCTAGAAAATATGATTCTTTTTTTGCGAAGCGCGAATATTTCGGTCACGAAAGCAAGAACTTTGATGTTGCGTGACGGTGGCAGCGCTTTAAATAACGATCCAAGTAACTTATTTAGTTGCGAACTGTATACGCGCGGGCATTTAAAATTTATTAACTCATAAATTCCCGGCCCTCGTACCGTTACCGCGTTACGTACCTCGTGCATGTTCGATAAACTGCACTTCATAAATTCATGCGGTATCGCGCGGTCAATAAGCTTGAAATCGATTCATCTCGTATCTAAATCCAGCGGAATTTCCGCGAGATCGGATAGCGCCAGCGTATCGCTGGTTCGTGATTCAGCCGGGATTTCCCCCACGAAAAGATAATTGGAGTCGTCTATACATAACGTTGAGAGTGTGAGGGGAGTGTAATATACTTATTTTTATAATATATAAGTTTTTAGCGACTCGCCAAAAACGTTATATACATTTTTGACAGAAAAAAATAAAAATTCATAATTTTTTTTAAAAGAATCCTAGCATCTCTGTTTTAATAATTTCTCCGCAGAATTTCACAGAATTTTATGCCTCTAACGTGCGCGCGATTTCGGCGCTGTCGCGGGATCTTAAATCGGGCCCCGAGACAGGTAGTCCATAAAGATGGGGCGGGCACAGACGGAAGGAGGAGAAGGACTTCCCCGGAGAGCGTCGGCGATGGAATGCGAAAGCGTGGGTTCGGTTCGGCGGTAACGCGATCTCGATGTATAGCGACGAAAGAACGCGCGATGGTGGTGATCGCGGAGAGGGGCCCCGATGGAGAGCTTCGGGGCCCGAAGGTGTACGTATGTGTAACGGTACTCTGCGCGATCGCACGATCCGATCGGCCTCTCTCGTAAAGCGCTCTCGATCGTCTCGTGCGTGTGCGCGTGTACGTACGCACACGCGCGTTTTCGCCGCCTCGACGGAACTGGAAAGTGAACGAGCGTCGTCGTCTGCTTTGCGAGACGTCGAGGAGGAAAGAGAGGTGCGTTGGACTTTCTCCCGCGAGATCCCGAAACCGTAGTCTCGATCGAGTCGGTCATCTCGAATGAAAACTCGAAAAGATTGACGTTTATTATCTATCGCAACCGTTGAGCTTTCGAACATTAATGGCAGGAACGCGTTTCCCACATCGTACTGAGGGAAACTGAATGAGACACCCCTAAGACAGGTTGCTAAGTCCCGAGATCGAGTACGCGATGATGACTGAGTTAACTGGAGTGGATATACAGAGAGAGTGTCGGGGTCCAAGATATAAATAGCCGCTACCACTTACCGTCAATTCAAAGCGAGCGCAAGACTGTAGTTTCTCTGTACAACTCATCGCGAAGTAACGCAGCGAAAAATACTCCTCAAGAGTCAAACGGTTCTTTGCTCATAAGAGTGAACGTGTTAAATTAGCCTATTTTAATTACGTATATGATCATATATAAAGCCATCGTCGGATAAGGATTTAATACGGTGACGCGCGATTTAATACGGACGAACAAATTTTCTCGAAACCAATTTCTCCAAATATTCAAATCAGTACTGAGAAATATTCAAAGCCAGATTAAAACGACGTTAAATAAAATAAGTCGTCGATTAAATTTGAATTATCAATTCGGCACACGCGATACCGAGAGATGGCCACGACCTCTGATTATAAAGAATTCTGTTAATCGTTCTCAATTTACGTTTCCCGCGGCAGGAACAGAGGGGGAATTCAAGCCAAGGGAAAGAATAGCGACACGCAGACGCATAATTGCCGTCCCTTTGTTGCTGGTCGAAACTGCTAGTGGCTGCGTGGAATTGAATGCCGTTTTAAACCGTCGCGCGTGTGTACATTCGCTAGATCGAATCACAAACAGCACGGAGCTGTTCAGCTGATACACAGATCAATGTCGCAGAGTAAACGAGAGAGAGAGAGAGAGAGAGAGAGAGAGAGAATGATGCTATTATTTTAATATCAAAATATATCATTTTTAGCATGCATTATTTTAAATTGATTAACCAATCGATCATGACGAAGAGGATATAAATATATCTCTCGCTATATTTATCTCTCTCTTTCTTTATATTTATCTCATCGATCGTCTCCTTAACTTTAATATATGGATTCGTATCTAACGCATAGCGAGAGGGATATAACGATCGATGAGTCAAAAATGTCATTGCGTCGAAGAGATACGCTTGATTTGTCGGCGACGTAATGGCGACATGGGGCGACCAGCTCCCGGCGTGCTCGAACGAGCTTTGTAAACCCGAAGACATCGCCTCGTTAGCGGGTGAAGTTATTAAGTGCTCTCTCGTTAACGACACAGAACGGTCGTTAGCGAGATTAGGGAGCTGTGTAGTGGAACATTGACTATTATATCTATCGATACGATAAATTGATAAATAAATAGTAGAGCAATATAATTGACGTGAGTATAATAATATAAATGTGAAATTATCGAAAATTCCTTTCGTGAAAGTGAAAAAAGATCCCTCAAATATATAAATAACACGATACGCTTATCGAATATTCCAAAGTGCATTTTAATTGCTTGCGACTTTCTATATTTTATTATGATTCACATAATAATGTCTATTAATTAAGTCATAAACCGACGAGATATAAATTTACGTCGCTGATATTTTCCACGATTATCGCGAGATCGTGATCGAAGACGGCGTTCCATTACTTAAAATCCGTTCAAGATCGTTTTCGAAGAAAATTGAGGCGAATATACGCAAAGATGGTAATTCTTCGCGGCTACGCTTTACCAACCTTGACCATTGGAGTGATTCTGTTGCGGCGATTGGGGCTGCCCCTGCGTTAGTATAATTTGGCTCTCGAGCTGCTGGAGCTCCGCCTGGAGTTCGTTCAGCTTGCTGTTTGCCTTCTTCACGATCGTCGCCACGTCAGAGAGCGATTTGCGATCGGTCGCGACCTCTCTCAGTTTCTCCGCACCGGCCTTTATCTTTAATTCCTGTGAACGAGAAAACATAGAAATTTATAAATAAAATAAAATAAAATATATAAATAAAATCTCTTAAATAGAATCAATGTATTACTGATGTCACTGATAAGCAGTGACTTCAGTTATAAGTGTAGTACTGCAAATAGTGAAATCTCATTGTGTGAATGAATCAGTTGCAGTGGCAGCGACTTTTTCATTCAATCAGTAATATTTTAAAATGCATTTTATATTATAATATTATATAATATTATATATATGATAAATTTATAGAAATATCCCTCATATCCCTTTTTTTAAAGAAATATCTGAATTTAAGTCTTGTTTATTCTTTGTGGAGTTATCATATTGATTATATGTGTTTCATTCCAAATATGTTTGTGTGTGTGGGGAGGAGCTTTTCCCAAAAAATAACAATCTAAAATAAATAGGAAAAGCTTTAAAAACTACATATTGCAAATATGCACGATTCTAACAGATTTTTCAGTGAAATCTCACTGCTATAGTTAGTGAGACATAAGAGAGAGAAACAAAGTATGATACTGAAAATCAGTAATATATCATATATCATTACGTCACTGCTTGGTCAAAGATATTTTCACTGATTCGGTTTAAGAGAGTACACGCGGGACACCCGTGCATCGCGCGAACCGGACGGCAGTTGTGAATGACCACCGCTCTCGTTTCGGGCGAAAAAGCGAAGCCTTGTGTTCCGCGAAATTTAACTGCATACATTTATTATGTGGTCGACATGTTGCTCGCTTTAAAGCGCATCCATCGTGCCGCTCCTTCGTATAGCAAATGAGACGTAAAATTGCACACGTGCCCAATGATACCCTTTGCTATTCTATTACCGGCTGTTGCACAGTCGCCGCGAATGTTCGCGATGAATCACCCGATAGGGTTTTTATTTTCTAATCTAGAGCATGTTACAGCACGCGGCATACAATCTCCAACTATTGCGTCAATATATTGAGTGAAACAAAAATTATTTTTCTTTGACGATAATTACTAGCACAAAAAAAGAAGAAAACTGTTTATTTCTCTCATCTTTCAAAGAAGAAAAATAACATAAAATAAAAGAAGAGAAAATAATAGGTAAAATAATAGTGCAATTGAGATGAATGGTCGGTTTCTGAGACACTTTATATGCATCCATTCTGTCTACAATGCTGCAGTTGACTTACCGTTTGCAGTAAATTGCTCTGGTAACAAGCATTTATGAAAATGTGCTACGTTAAGAAACCTATGGTATTGTATATTATTGCATTTGCACACGAACGGCTCTATTTCGCGGTGGATCCATTAACGGTAGGCACCGGTTAAAGACGGATCGTAACGAGTCTCTCGTAAAGACGCTTAGTAAGTACCAAGAGATGCAACAGGAGGAAATAGTAAGGGGAAAAAAGGTAAGAGTGAGAGAGAAAGGGAATCGTATCGCCGGACGAGAAACTAGTTTCTACGCGAGTCGCACAGAAACGTTCGGACCACCCTCAAGTTTTCATTCGCAACGTGATTTAAAGACGCGCGTTCCGGGGCGCGCATCCGGAAACCATTGATCACGAAACCTTATTACGTGTACTTGCGCCGGATATTAAAACACACGAGTACACGTATACGCGAGAAGCTCAATCGCGCATAAATATTTCTGCTGTCTTGCAATCTTGTAGGAGATGTAAAATTATTAAAGAATTAATTTCCATCAATTATGAAATAATAGGATAGATTAATCCTGCATCCTTAATTTCTTTACGATAGATACCTAAGTCTATTGTAAATTATCTATTTTTTATTACGAGACAGAAAGAGATTGAGAACAGTGAACGTTTTAAGATTAAACAAGGACAAATTAATTCAATTAATTTTCGGAATAAAAAAAAAACTAAACACCGATTATTATTCGAGAGAAAAAAAAATAAAGAGGACAGTACCCAGAACAGAGGAAAAAGGAAACGCGCAAAATGGTGTTGAGACCAGCTATCGTATACAGGAAAAAAAAGAACTTCGCAGAAGCTGTAGTCGACGAAGGCGTAAGCGAAACTCGACATACCTTGCGTATTTCTCGGCGTATGTGCTCTCGCAGCACGTCGAGACGAGCCGGCAAGGGCACCTGGTCACTGCCAGCCACTCCATACTTGCTCGACAGTTCGTAAAGAACTGGGTGCCTGATGTAATCGCCCTGAAACAGATTCCAAGTTCGATCCCGCGTTATTGACGGCTGATATATCGCGAGTAGGATTTGGGCAAAGCAACGAGCGATAAGGTCGAGTGGCTCGTCGAACGATTAATCATTCTCGAACTAAATCCTTTCTCCGTAATTGAAATAAAATCTTTGCTCTCGTTCTATTAGTGAGTTTAGAAATATAGGAAAAAAAAAAGTATTAAATATATATCCAATCGATTTTTCATCTAAACCATGTGCGAAGATTCATATCAATTAATGATCGATATTGCACTGCGTTATTTCCGCACAATATCGACCATGTAATCTTTCAACATTACAGCCGCATTATATTAATATTTATTCGTAATAACGATGAGCGCAGTGATTTCGCAATAGTGTTAAGATAATACCGGGAAATTGTGTCGATGATCGGAGATATCGCCGAGAAAACATCGCGGAATATACCTCTCCTAACCGGAAATCGTCTGGCGTGGCGGGCATATGGCCTACTCGTGACAGATACGGATATAGACTCTAGGCAAGCAACGCACGCGAGAGGGGAAAGTATCGATCTCTCGCGGTCTCGTAATACTGGCGCGAAACAACATCGTCTATTGTACGTCGATGGGTGTCAATCCACGTCGCGATTCAATTAGTTTGCCCATTGAAACGTTCAAGGGTATTCTCGATTAAGCTTCTATAACGAACGCGAACCTACTTCAAATGTACAATGAGAGAGGAATCCGCGAGTCGCAATGTCAGCTGTTCGATTTTAAAGAGCGCGTTTAATTTAAAGTTTGATACAATTTGAAAACGTACCGCACGTGGGGCCATGCAAGTCCGAAAGTATTTAGAAGTGGCCTTGGTGAACGAAATGCACCTGCACGCGCCCGATTTCTTTTTCGTTTTATCCACGCTGATAAACGACATTATCATTTCATGAGAGAGACGCGACTTCACCGTAAATGAAATGTCCGAGATATCTCTATCTCTTGTTAGAGAATTATCGCGCCATACTTCGAAGTACGGAGATTACACGCTGTAGAGATAATCGTCTTATTAACAACACATTATTAAAACACACACGCGTTTGAATAAGAAAAAAAATAACAACAGTTTCCGATTAATCCATCACTGAATCACACAGTCATGAGCGATAATCTCGGAGTTGCGATCGCGCGGGCAGAATAAACGTCAACCACCTGTTGCAGCGAAAATCTACAATATCACGTCCGCACACACGTATTTCCACTATCGCTATTACACTCGGGACTAAGATGTAACAAAATGGCACTTTTACATTCGAAGAGCGCGACACGCGCTCCTCCGAGAAGTCGAATTCGAGAATTCGAACTGACTGAAGAAGAGACGGTGCCGATGCGGGCCGTTATCTCTTATCAGCCGTGCCGATAACGTAGCCGATACTCGACTGCAAAAACTTGCACACTTTTATCGTCTCCTCACGATGCTTACATAAAGGGGACGAAGGTACTTAAGAAAACAACCGATTAATTTTCTTAGTTGATGTGTACCTAACTTGACGCAATCACGTAATTTATGTCATGAGATTTATACATACACTTAAGTAAATAAACATACATGTATACTGTTTTTCAATTAGACACTTTATGTGGTGATCTTGATAAATTCAATTTACTCTTCACGAGAAATGTATACGAATTTATATCTTAAATTAATATATAAAATATATATTTGTAACAAAAGAAAAAAAAATATATATATATAATATAATTATAAAAAAAAATAATAATATTGAAATATAAATTAATTTAAATATTATAAATTAATTTATATGTACAGCTATCTCTCTGTTATTTGGATTATTATGTAACAGCATATGCCTGTTAAATTTATTGAAATTGCATGGCTATGTGAAAAATCGTTGCGCAAAATTGCGACATCTTATTTTACAATTCGACTGTACAAGTTATACTTTGTATAAATTACAGATTGTCAGACGGAGATAGGGAATGATGAAGATTCCAACTGTCTTCGAGGAGAATGAAAGTATCTGGACATTAATTTAGGAGAGCCGAGACTCTCTTGTGAGGAGAGGCCCGTGTACGAAATATACCAGACAACTAACACACTGACGCACGATCTATTTTTATACATTCTACAATATTTGTGCCATGCACAATAATCCCGGGAGGTCAACAGACGTCGCGACGTCATAGGAACTTCCCTTTTCCCCGTCGAACGAGCGTTTTTGCTTCGAGGGGCTTGAGAAATATAAACGAGCAGTGTCTGACTCAACTCGTAAGCGCGAGCTCTGCTCTGAGATGGAGAATTGTTTTTGCTGATGCAAACCTCCCAAGCGAAAACCATTACGTGCGTTGAGCGCAACGTCAAATTTAGAAAGACATCTCTCTAACATCTGTGATAGCATTGAATTATCGATCCATTAATAATCCATTACAACTGCATTACGAGAAAAACATTTTAATCTAGCGCGTGTATAAGTGACTGCGAAAATCGCGCACAAAATCAACGCGCGAGAATGATATATATATTTTCCGTTTTAAAAAAAGAATCTTAAACAAACACGACTAAAATTATTACATCCGCGATATTCTCGATATTCCGCGTCGACATTATTTCTCGCGGAGTCTGAAAGAGCGAATAGTGGGATCGTGCCAAATTCTTTATCGAAAATGAGACTCGCGGTTATAAACGTGAAAGTTTCGGGAGACGAGAATCGACGCTGATTCCTCGACTCTCCGATTCGATGACGTATTCAAACGATACACAGGATCGCGGTGATCCGCTTGCGTTGTCACGGCCGAACGCGCTCCTCTCGAACGTCCCATCCTCGGTCTCGTCGGTAAATAAGGCTCGCGGGGGAGCAGGTGTTACCGGGGACCGACCGGCGCGAAGTCATTCGGGACCGGTTACACCAAAGCCTGACTTCACCTTCTCCGTCTGTACATCAAGTGAAACGATAACCAGGAGTGAAATCGGTATCGTTTCGACGAGTTGAAATTTCGATGTTCAACATTTATTCGCAATTCACGAAATTAATTAACTGCGAAAAATATTATAACGTACGCAGCGCGAATTAAGCGAATCCGGATTAAGGAGTCGTGTGGTTAATTTTCTTTACTAAATCTACATTGTAAATAGAAATATAATCTCGGAGCAAGCGACAAACCGCGAAGCGCGGAGTCAATTAAGTCAAGTAGCCTACAACTAGATACTGGTTGCGTCAACGTCGGTTAATCCTCTCGTAGATTAAAAATTTTTTCTTCCATGCTGCACGGTAGTTTAGAAGGGAATACAACGAGAGAGCCGTTGAGCGAAGTCAATTAGCCCGGACGATCGGTGTAGGAGGCGGAGCGAGTAAGAAATCGGATGCATATATCAGGTGTGCGCGATCCGTCACGCTTGGTTTCCCGGTCGACTCCGAGAGCACGCTCGTCGCGAAGCACGAAAACAGCGTCGATCTCCCGTCATCGCGATGAGGGAAAGCCTGCGATCCTCCCCCTCCCACCTCCCCCTCGCACCTGGGACCGCAGTACAAGTGCATGTGCGTCGCGAGCGAGAAAGATGGGAAACGCGTTCATTCGGGGAGATCCGTGTCCCGGGAAAGGTGAACGATTATGGCGTCCTGGATACAAGGCGCGGACTCGGCGATCGCGCCCGAGTTTCGTGAAGGGAGAGATGCGTGAAGAGTTGCGGAGACTCACCTGATAATAGCTCGATTCCGCCATCTTGCTCCCGCACTTCTCTCTCTCTCTCTCTCTCTCTCTCTCTCTCTCTCTCTCTTTCTCTCTGTACGCTCTCTCACACTCGCGCTCACGCACTACCGCCGCTTTCCATCCGTCCTTTGTGAGCGTCGCCGAGAGCCGACGTTAGGTGGTGGTCCATGGTGCGTTTGACCGCGGCGCCGGAGTTATATTTCACTGCGTGCGTCGGCGCCGCATTTCGCGTCTGACGGGAGCCCCGTGATGTGACGCGCGGCGTCGTCGACGAGTCTCTCTGTCCCTCTCCCTCTCTCTCTCTCTCTCTCTAGGAGCGCGATGACCGGATAACCGTCCGAGCTCGAGTATTGTTGCCGACAACGTCGCTAACTGACGCTCGACGATGTTAATGAAGCTGCGCGCACCACTACAACATAGGCGGATGAATGAGAGACACGAGAACAAAATGCGAACACGACCACATTCCACCGCACCAGACTGGCGACTGACTGAGAACGCCGGGCCAATCGCCGCGCAAGGCGCCGTCGCGGCTGACGCGTTCCGCGAGGCCAATCAGCGTTCGTCGTCACCCGCGCTCCGCAATCGCGCGCCAATCGCGAGCACTGGCGCTACGAGATATTAAATTTGATTGTTGTATCGTAATTTTTCGTCGAAAAGACATCTCTCCACGAAATAAATTCGCTGTTAAATAAGCTAATTGTATTGCGATATCATTGAAATACTGCAATTTAAAAACATAACATATTTTTTACGTTTATAAAAAATCAAATTTTTTCGTTCGTTTTTTAATACGATTTATTATCGTCTAATGGTGTACATGTGGTATGTATATGTCTTTGGAGATCTGTAAAAAAATACACAATTATTGAGAAATTAATGCCTGAAGAAGTTCTTCGGGCGTTCTGGAAAAGAGGCTGCTAGGGTTTTGATACAAATTTTTCGGATTGTGACAGGAATCGTATAATTGCTTATATATAGCTCCGATTACTTCAAACGATCGTTTCTGAGTAATCGTGCGATGATTGTTGCTTTGTAACAAACTTATTTGTGGCAGTAGCAAAACATCCGGCATCACCAGGAACGCCTCCAATTTATTCTACGTAAAGAATTAATATATTAATGTCTGCAAGAGCAATTATATGTTACTTTACGCAATAAATTGAATCACACTCACAGTGAACTCTTTTACACTGAGGGCATCCATGCCAGGTATGGACGAGAGTGGTCCCTGCTCACGTCCTTGCAGGATAGTGTAAATTGAACCAAGATTCAAATGTGCTACCAAAGAACTAGCTTGTTCTGATGTAAGTGTATCGATTTGCGCATCTGATTGTGCCTGAATCATATTATTTGCGATTACAATGTCAGTAATAGCCAAAACTTACAATCGGATACCAAATAAAGCAATGGAAATAATCTCGATATAATCTCACATTTATATCTAATTCTATCTTTTAGATAAAAACTAACCAATCACCTGTAACCTTTCTAATCTCTGATCCATGTATTCGTACAATGCTAGCGTCGATTGTATCTGATGCATGCAATTGAGAAGGTAAACAGCCATATCCACTGTTGGTAATCTAGAGGCTGTTTCATTAACTTCTTGAAGTAATGGATCAATGATACACGACACAATCTGTCAATCATATGCAAAATAACATATAACTAATGTTAAAGATAATAATAATAAAATGCAGAAAAAGATATTCTCGCTGAACATACTTGTAACATGTCCTTTTCCCTGTCTTCAGCTATACTGGCGACAGACAATATTTCATTTAGAAGCGATAACAGTCTAGAAACAGATGGAGCAGGGACCAAATCACTTCCAGGAGGTTCCGCGCGTTCTCCAAGAGCAATCCTCGTTTCTCTTTGCAATCTGCTCAGAAAGCTTTTCTCGCTTAAGGCCAATAAATCTGACAGTGTTTGATCTAAAACACTATCAGGTATGACTTGTTCAATAATAGCGTGGTAAAATCTAATTAAGGTTGTAACTGAGTACAATACTGTTGCCGGTGCCTCTGTAGATATAACATGCTCTATTCTCGATTTTAAGGGATGGCATAATCCTTCTGTGATGTTGCTTAATGCTTGTTTCATCTGATCTGATAGATCTGTAATGAATACATTTAAATATTTAAACAATGTAAACAATTTAAACAATTAACTTTAAGAAAAATCATTTCTTACCTGTCTTATCACAGCCTTTCACCAAGGTAAGAATGTTCTCTTTTTCTACAGGAATTACTTGATGCAACCATGCAAGCATATCACCGATATATCGCTTAGGATCATTAGCGTGCATCTCTATAGGATTAGGTGTTCCACCAAAGCCTTCTCCTAATGTTAATGCATCTATGAAAGATCCCACTAAGGCGGTTCTTCTATTTGCACAATATTCATCTAGAATATATCTAAAAATATTTAATATATTAATTTTGTTTACAATCAATACATATAATATTTGTACTCAAATGTTAATCATCTTACTTAAACAATACTGGTCTATCTTGAAGTTTATTCATAGCCTTAATGAGTAATGGCGCTAAACATTCGTTTTCTATGTTTTTACAATGATTTTGTGTCCATCGATATAGTCTTTCAAGCGCAGCTTCTTGCAATAGTGTCATTCTTTGCATTATATCCAGAGCCAATGTCTGATAACCAGACTGCATGAGCACTCTACATTTGCCATGAATATCCTGGATTCGTAATAAAGTTAAAGTGCCAGAAATAATTATCACTATCAAAAATAAATAACATTTAATGCGCTACCTGCACTTTATTAACTACAGAAAAAAACTCCTCTGTTATGGGCGATTCTCTAGTTGATCCATGCAAAACAGTCAATTCTGATGGATTCAATTGGAAATTTTTTATAAATGCACTTGCAACATCCTGTTGTATGGATAATACTTGACTGGGAATAAAATCAAACAATACATTTTATTGAAGTTGCAATCATAATCGTTAAACATTATTGTTCAAATGTATAAATTGTTCTCACCTTTCATTTTGGAGCTTTGTTGTTTGTTCTATAAGCTGTGATGTTTGAGCTTTTGTAATTTGCAAGCGATTAGTCATAGATTGTACAGCTGTATTCATTGCTAAAACATCTTGATAAATGTCATCCAAGGAACCCTTCACCTCTTTAAAAGCAGCCAAAAATTCTTCATTTATTGCTAGACTCCTTCTCTCTATCTTGCTACGCAAATTTCGGCGAGAGCTTAACGTGTTCTCAGTGAAAAATGTCGACAGCTCTTTCAAAGCTTCCAATGTATCCTAAAATATATTGCACGAAATTGTGACATTTTCCCTTTTATCGCAGTCATTAAAAATTCTTTCAAAATTCATTTAACTTTGACTGTTTACAAGATGGGATTTATAAATAATCATGATTTATCATAAAGTTTTTACCTTATCGTGTTCTACTCTAGACTCTAGTAATTTATTCACTCGCCGCACTAAAGCGGTATTAATGCTTTTCTCGCTCATCGCGAATTCAGATATTTAGTCTATCAGAAACGCATAACCTATATACAAATGTCAATGGAACCATGACAGTAATGTCAGATGGTACATACACGTCATCTACAGGTACAGTCACTTCAAAATTTCATACATGTCAATCGGAATGAGCATAAATAAGCAAATTTTTGGATATTTTTGACGATAAAAAATAAAGAAAGAATTGCGCTTTTAATATATCATCGATATGGGCAAAAAAAGGACAAAAACTTCAACAGATATACAATAATTACATCTCATCGCACTGACATGCGTACATGCAACCTGTCAGCTGTCAGAATGAGGATATTGTTTTTCGTAATAAATAACGCGAATTGCTTGGAATTTGATAGTGTCGACAGATTGGGCAATTAATCATTTTTTGTCGCTCTGAAATATAGAAAATTATGTAAGAAGATTAAACGGCTAATAATGTCGATATTTTCGATTCGATAGATCGCTGTAACGCGGAGAGAAGAAGAGAGTGAAAGTGAAAGAGAGAGAGAAAGAGAAAGAACGCGTAGAATACGCCAAGATACTATGCAGCAATTCGATGCGTTTAGTTGCGTTTAGTTGTCGCGCGAGTGAGTGCGATTGTTTTTTCTTCGATGAATTAGGATAAATATGCGCTGGTTAATACGTCTGTGTATCCTCGCGATTTTGCTGGTGCACAGCATAGATGCGAATAGCGAGGAAGTGCCATTAACCAAGTTCGGCGCAAAGACTGGGCCGACTTTAAGATTCTTTTACTGGTAAGATTAACGATCCATTTGTGTGTTGATTTTTATTTGATAAACGCGGCATCCGCAACTAGAGACATTCGTCCTTTGCTCTATAAGATAATGGATATATGTAACGATCGTTAAATGCAACAACATAGGCCTAACAAGATACTTGTTGAGCTTCATATAATTCTAAAATTCTAAAGCAATCATTACTACATTATTGTTTGAAAATTTGATTCTTATTCTTAAATAAAATTAATGTTTTTTCATTACAGCTACTCATGCGGCTATAGAAAAGCCTTTGAACAATATGTGAGTATTCTTACGGAAAAGTATCCAGAACTTCACATTGAAGGAGAGAATTTTAATCCATCGGGTTACAATATGTTAATTGCAAAAGTGCTGGTAATTAAACTCTTTATTTTTATGTTAACTATGCTGATTTATACAGCTTATTTCTATATTTCTATATTAAATTTGTATGTTTAGGGAACACTGAAAATATTGGTAATTGTTCTAATTGTAAGTGGAGTTAACTTTGGATTGCCCCAAACATCAGTATGGCAATGGTGTATAAGCAATCGTTTTTATTCCTGTGTACTCATTTTTCTGCTTTGTAACGCAATAGAAGGTCAACTGATTTCATCAGGTGCATTTGAAATACATTTGAATGGTAAGCATAAGTTACGCTTGTTGTTTGTATGATTGTTACATTGAATATTTAGTTATTATATTTGCTATGATATGTTTTTAGATGTTCCTGTTTGGTCAAAACTTGAAACCGGCAGGATACCTCGACCACTTGAATTGTTTCAAATAATTGATTTCCATTTAGATCCAGATATGCAGTTTGAAAAAATCAAATTTCGAACATAAAACATAATTTTATTTTGAAAATTAATGTAATTACATACCATGCCACAGGAAGTTTGTTAAAATGGTGTAATGTGATGAAAATATGTACAATATATTTGCTAAGTAAGTAAATTCTTTAATGTACATTTCTTATGATAGAATACATAATTCCAATAAGAAGAATATGAAAATATAAATGTAATTGAAATAAAACTGTACCAAAATTTCTTATTACAGGATTTTGATTAAATGATTTCATATATTGTACAAATTTCTACAGCAAGATATAGTACATTATCTCGTAATAGTCGTTTCAATATCGCTTATTTTTTTATGTTTAAGACCAGGATTTCAAAAATGGATTTCAATTAAGATCTCATTTAATCTCCCTGATTTCATTCAAATCAGTTGGATGATCGCTGATTAAGGGACGTGCTTCGTATGTACAAATAGTCACACCGTGTTTATGAGTTGGAGTCCATTCTCCTTTGAGACCAATATAATAAATTCTAATTTGTTCCATATTTTGATCACCAACAAAGTGAAGACTTAAATGCTGCACAGATGAAAACTTTACTGTTCTGTAATAGAATTTATAGTGTCTAAATCTTCTAGTTTCTGTAGTTTTAATATCTCATATAAGCATTTTGTTTGTGATTATAGTTATTAACATTTTATAAATCTTATAGATATAAATAAAATAGCACATATACCTCACAGGATATTCATGGATCCCATACAAATCTGTAATTAACTCAAATTCTTGTTCTGGACTAATATTTACATCATCAAATACCATGTGTGGTCGATTTTTGTATCTATTGATATACACATTCATATTGATTATTCTTTAATTTTTGAATATCAACATTTTTTTCTAGTTAATCTTATACTTACAACTTTACTGTTTTGGGCAAATAATCCTCATCTCCAATTATAATAAGCCCCTTCAATTTTACATCCCCTGTGAAACTGTAAAAAATCAAGATACTATATATATATATATACAAAACAATCTTTAATTCAAAAATTTGCGTACTTACGGTATATTGAACAGGAGCTCAGCATCAGTGTCACTTTGAACATACTAAAACAAAATAAACTTAAAAAATGTAAAGCAAGAAATATTAAGTACTGCAAAATTTCATAAGAAATATTAAAATATATTTCAAATGCGCAAAAAGAATTTTATATTAAGATTACCTCTGATTTATCTAATCTCTCTTCCCATGTTTTAAAGACTTTTACACCACTACCTTCCTCAGTTTCGTTTAGACATTCTACTCTATCTTTATCTATTTTTTCATATAAATTATAATTGACGCCTAATTCTGTTGAATCATGTGCACTGCCACAATTACATCGATGTTCCATTGTTCGCAAATCCTATCAGCAATGAAATAAAAAAATAAGACTATAATAAACAAAAAATTTTTTTCCAAGTTATATATAATAAGATGAAAACTTGATAAAATTCAAAGTAGATTGTATATATATAGCATAAATATTATCTTATAGTTTCTAGTATATATGCTGTTTTCACTTGTCTATAAATATATTATATATAGTTTTTATTAATTGTTATTAATATAAATTTCGCACACACATGTGCAAATTGAAAAAAAAAATGCTATACTTATTTTAGAAGCGTATAAATTATAGATAAGTAGTTTTCTCTCGTAGCTCTTTCAATATGTATTACGTTTAAACTATTTCGTTGTCGTTGACGATGACTGTTGATCTTTGAAGTATTTGTCACGTACCTTTATTAGGGAGAGAGAAATATATAAAAGATGTTACCATGCGGCTGCAATAGGTTAAGTTCACGTAACAAGATCGTTTCAACAATATAACAATTGCAACAAAGTAATATTTTATATATGAAAGATAGAACCTTCTTTATCAGTTGAAAGACACATAAAGACAAGGAAACGTGGAAGCTGTCCTGAAGGATTATTTACACACATTGAAGCTTGAAACTCCTTTTCAAAATATAATATATCTAACCGGTCGGTAAACAAAGTTTCTTTTGTCATAACGGAGAATCAATGTATATGTAAATAAGTATATATACATTTCACATTATACTGCAATACAATCGTGATTATTCATTTATTCAACTAAAGATTTTATAATTTATAAAATTTTAAAAATTACGTTTTTAGATCTTTTATGGATTTTTCAAAAATGTTTTTTGTTCTCCCAATAGAGAATATATCGAGTAAATAATATACATATATTCCTTGTAAAATTTAGCATCAATAAAATTTAAAATTATTGAATATATAATATAATATAAATTGAAAGGATTTAAACAACTTTTCTGTTCAAAAGGTTATTGATAAAAAGTTCTAACACAGGAGATTGCGGAATGATAGGTAAAAGTAAAACTTTGAAATTGAAAAACAGGTGATATTCATTTATAAATTCTATAGCATATGTACATTTGTTACTTTGCATACGGTGAATGAAATATAGATAGAGAGTGCAACGTAACATATAAATAAAACAATCTTTGTATGATTTATGTGTGGAATGGTTGCATTGTCTTTTTCCTATTTATGTTTGTCGACAGCCTCGTCAATAATTTTATTAAGTTTCTGATTTTGCCAATCAAGGGCAATATTATCGAGATGGTTGTCGAAATCGACCAGATTCCTGTATTCCTCCTCCTTTAGTAACGAGTACATCGCGTCTGTGTGTGCAACACCTCCTTCATAAATTATACTGCGACAGAATAAATGTGACATTTTATTATCTAAGTAAAATGGATGACCTTCCAAGAATTAAAATGTAATTTCAAAATAAAAAATGTATAATTACTTTGCTTTATCCTTTGGTTTCCATTTTCCATCTATGGACTGTGAAATTCTCAATGGACTAGATCCCATACTTAGAGTTACTTCTCGATTATCCACCTGGTAAAAAGAAATAAGATTTATAGAAATAGATATAAAATGTATTGATATAGTAATTATAATGAACATACCACTACAAGCAGCGCACTGTTAAAGTTATCTGCAATTTTATCTGCTATTCTGTGAGCTGGTCTGTCTGTACTATATGAAAAACACATAAATTAATCAGTCAGTAATGCAATCTATAAGCTCAAGAAAAATGTCAAGGTACCTTAAATCATTTATATTCTCATTGGCTAAGTAATAACCTGCCAGAATAAGACCTTTGCTAGCTGCTAACTGGTCCACCTGTAACATTAAACAGCATCGAACCAGACGTCATATTATTATTATCGTTATTCTAACATTTCGAACGAAGACTTTAAATAAAATCGCCCTCTTATTTTGACACATCATCATTGTGATATAGGTTAGGATATTGACACATCCACGTCACTCATATCGATTATTTTACGTATCAATATATATGCTTTAGGCAACATTGTAGGCTGTAAAATTTTGCGAAAGGCTTGAGAGATCGCGACAATAAAATCTCGTCAAATATTTACCAAAGTAAGCGCTATTTCCGCCATTGGCGAAACATGTAGGCATATGTGGAATAAAGGTATCGCATCCTCGATGTACAGATCCGCCCTGCCGTCCTTGCTCTTTTGTTTGCCGAGTAGCAAGCCATTAATCGCGCAATGCGGATACTTGGTTGCGTGTAAAATAATTTTACAGTACGCGCGAGGCGAAAAGAAAACATTCGTCATTGTCAAATGTGTGCACTGTAAACGCGACCGGACGCGAGGAGACAGCAGTGTGAGGTGTGAGCCAGTATTGCCAGCATTGCGATTGTCAGGCTGGCGAACGTGAGAGAATCTTCTCCCCTATAGCAAACTCGTAGAAGCACCAGCTGCGTTCGAGTTGGCACTACGAATCTTTCGAAGTATTTTGTGTTTGACTAATAAAAAAAACATTTCCTTGGCTCTTTTTTATCTTGATCGGTCAAGCAAACGCCTTCATTTCTAGCGCCGGATCGAACGCAGTCATTAATTATGTTCGTTTTGCTTGCATTCTTAGAAATTTCTGCACTTGAAATGAGATGTATATTTTCGGACGTTGGAGAAAAACAAAGCGAAGAATCTAAAAATGTTAACGATTATTGTGCAAGCGAAACAAACGGATCTAATGCAAGAAACAATTTAGATTTATTATAGATTTTTTCACACACGTGAATTATAATTTCCAAAATTTATTTCACATGACGAAAAGAATAAGGAAATAATTTATTATGTATTTAACTGAAAAATTATTTGAAAAATTTACGCTTTAAACCATCTTCCTTTTTATAAACTTTAGAAATTAGAATTCAGTGTTTCGGGGGGAGGGTCCAATAAAAAATATATATTCTTGTCTCTTTTCTTTCAAGAGGATAAACTTAATTACTTATTAAATGCTTTAAAAGAAAGGGAGAGTTTGCAAGCGTCAAAATTTAGAAAAATTAGCGTTATTCGTAATGCGATTATATTCGTGATAAGTGCGATAAGCAGTTTTGGAAGAGGTTACGAGGGCGATCATTGCGTCATCCTCGCGATCGTCCTCGTCGTCGGTCATCGCCGCGGGACGCAGTAGCGGCGGACGCCTATTCCGTTCATTGTGATTTTAATAAGCCTTATGCAAATTACAAATGAAATTGTCAGAGGCAGGCCCGCGGTCCATTCTTCGCCGCTGATGGGGACAATTAGAGGAGCTTTGTCCGGCGACCGCGCGTTGTCCGGCTGGCCGGCAACTTGAGTTCTCCAATGAGATGGGGCAGAGAGGCAGAGAGAGAGAGAGAGAGAGAGAGAGAGAGAGAGAGAGAGAGGAGAGGACCACCCGCCAACCCCTGATGTTTGTATCCGCTCTCCGGAACGTTCACTTCCGACTCTCGGAATCGCACGCCGCCGTGCTTCATTGTGCTCGCTTCCCGGCTCTGCCGCCTCCCCGCGATACACTCGAATCGTCGATACAATTAACACTTTGCTGGTTACGTAGTAGCTGTTATCATCGTTAGCTTATGAGAAGACGTAGCGATAAGTCATCGATTAATAAAAAGTAAAAAGATAGAATAGTAAGAATAATAATAATTGAAACAGAGAAAGAGTCTCTTGTGTATGTATTATTTTCTTCAATTATACATAATTATTGAAAAAAAAATTAATCCCTCCAACACACAGTTGCGATTTTCTTCATGAGAGAGATATTCTAAGACGTATATAATTTGATTCGTATTGTAGAGGCTACAATATCACAAAGATCAATTTAAAGGTAATACTATACTCGCGCCAGAGGAAACGCGAGCGCGGGAGAGATGCTCGTCCTTAGCCACGAGGATTCGCTACGCGACGGTTGGCTTGATACCGCAAGAAGGAGGACGTCAGAACCGCGACGTGGAATTGTTCTGTCGTAACCTGAAGATAAAGAGAGCGAGAGAGAGAGAGAGAGGGGGGGGAGGGGGGATACGGCGTCTTCAGGAACGCCGGGGCCCAGGGCCGAGAATGCGCCAATAAAGAGGGGGATAGGGAAGAACGGGGGATGGGGGACGGAGGTTGGAAATCGAACGGAATCACGGAGGCTGGAGGTCGGTGGTTCGGGGGCGGAGAGAGAGAGAGATAAGTTTTTACGGTAGGGTTACTAACTTACGGACTCGGCATTGTCGAGTTCCCGCCGACGCGAGGACAATGCGCCTTCGGAACACAATGCTTCACTCTGGAAATCTGAAGGCAGTCTTGACTACCAACCTGCAACCACCCCCATGTGCTCCCCTCGATTCCTCTCCCCTTTCCTCCTCCCCCCCTCCCCTCCTCGCCCCTTTCCGATCTGCGTCTACCAATACTCCGCTCCTTCCTCACATACCACCCCTCGATTGCCGACCGCGCCACTCTGCCGCTTCTGGTCCCCGTCGTTACTTTCTCATTCTTTCGCCCTTACCCTTCCTCCCGCCCCCCCTTTTCTAAATTCCTTTCCCCAGTCACAGTTTCCTCGGCCTTCTCGGTCGTGACTGACAATCTTCAAGTTCACGTTCGTTAATTTGCAAGCTTGGCAGAGGATGCTCCTTTCCGAGTTCGAGGAGAAAAAATTTTTGAGAATTATGTTACATTTTTGTTCTCTCAAACGCGATTATTTTAATAGCACATTTAACTATACGAATTCATATATACGCTTAAAGCATAGAATAGACACATACTTGCGCGCGCGCATACACATATATACATTTCACACACATTTATTGTAATACAAAATATAAAAGGCGCGGAAACAACGGTGGCGAGCACGGTAGCGAGATCCGAAAGAGTGGTGGGGGGGAGGGGAGGGGTGGAATAAAACGGAGGAAGAAGGGCGGACATACGAGCGTATTTCAATCGCTCTTAGCTTTTCTCTTTAGGCGAGCTTTGCCATTTCTTTGCCCCACAAAAGCCACATTGTTTCGCCCACCGCTCTCGCAACGGAATGCAGGCTGCTGAAATGCTCCTCTTTTCGCAAAACGCTAGAGACGACGGCTAGCGTCGACAATCAGACGCGAAACATAGACGCATCCGATGCATACGTAGGAGCATTTGTCGGTACGCAATCCTTTCTGATGTATTTCGCCGCTTGCCTTTCATTCGGCATTTATTGTTACTATTTGCAATTCTATAGATACGTCGCAATACTTTTGTACATCTTGTATTTCGTACTGCATATAAACGAGACATTCAAGGCAAAAGTCTGAAACAAGAGAAACTAAATCCATAATTCGTTACGACTTGTTCGCACAATCTTGCTCTGAATATTTTAAATACTACTTGGTGTATCGTTGTATAATATTTCTCGATGTTTTCTTTAAAAATCATTTTTAAAAGATAAGAAAAATTAATTATAATCTATCTCTAAATTTTGATAATAAAACAACACATTGTAATGAAAAAAAAAAAAATAACTATTTCTTTCAACGGGCTAACTTGTAAGAACATGCCGCGCTAATTTATAAGACATTTTAAT